TATTGACTAAGTGATTATTCTCAAAATCCTTCTCAATACTGGATGTACATTTCTCTACTATGACAGTCTAATGTAGTTGGAGCTCTCTCACTATATAAAAGTTCTAATGGACCTCTCTGAGAGAAGGCTTTCTGTTATTTTTAACCTAAAGTGTCCTGGCTTATAAATATCCTTTATTCTCAACCCCCATGCAAAGAGATTTAACCTTCCACTCATCCCCCAGTGGAACACTTTAAAAAGATGATCTGAAATCACTTTAAGGATCAGATAAAAACTCTGTGAATGAAAATAGTCCAATTTTAGTTCAATTATGGGTACAAATACTTCAAATTATGTAGTATGCTTTGTGAAAAACCTAAAAAGAAACAGATTTCACTGAATTTCCCCTTTTGAGTCAGTTAACCATCTTCTATACTAAAAAGAAATTTTATAAAAAAATATTTAAATGAAAATTTTATAGTGGTCTTTTACATTTAGCTATTTAATGGTGGGATATTTCATGGCACACACCTGGGAGGTTAGAAGACAGGCTATGGGAGTTGGTGTCTCCTTCTACCATATGGATTTCAGGGATTGAACTCAGGCCATCAGACTTGGTGGCAAATGTCTTTACCTGGTGAGCCATCTCATCAGCCTTAAATGCACTTCAAATTGACCTTGAATGTGTGAACCTTCCCCTCTCTTCTCCAAAGTATTTTAGAAATGTACATTCCTGAATACATTCCTGAATTCCTGTCACTTTGGAAAGCAACCAACAAAGTCTTATCAAAAGATCTGGCACCAGAGCCCATACTGCTAAACTGAACCAACATGGCCAGTGGAAGTGGCTGCCACTGAACCGAGTGACAGCTTCATGTCAACAAAGAGAAATAAGCCAGAAACCTCAAACACTAAAGACTATCTATGACATTGTTCCTGTTCACAGGAAGCACACTGTGAACTTATTCCTTATTAGAACATTCTTTCAGGTTGAGTTTAATTACTGTTTTTGAATAGACTCCTTTTTCTTAACCTTTATTCATTCTGCTTCTAGCCAAGGCCAAAAATACCAAATTTCAGATGGAACTTTACAGCCCAAACTTAAAACAAGTCTAAGTTACACTCCAGTTTGGGAATTGCACTTTCTGGCCCTCCCAGAAGACTGGCTCTTTCAGGTAACCTCTGTTCTGGTTCTGCCTCCATTTCGCTAACTCAGGGCAGGTTGCCTATGGAATCTTAATCACAGAGTGGAAGCAGACAGTCTTTTTGCATATGACTCAGTATATTTACTTTAGTGGCCATTTACTATTTTTCTTCTTTGTTTTTCTACTGAAAACATCTAAACCTTCTGAGGCAAATTATTTCTATATTTGCATTAGGCATTTTAGAGACTCACTCTTAGAACTAATCAGGAAACTTCATCAGAATGAACTGAGGAATCAGAAAGGTAACTCTTCAAAATACACATGCTTATTATTCTCTATACACAATGAACTGTAATCTCTGGATGGAAAACTCAGATAGGAAATAGCAGGCAATATTACAAAGAACAACATTTATATTTCAGGACTGATCTTTGATTTCACCTTACTTATCAACTAGTATGTTTACCTGTTAGTGTTTCTGGGATTCTAGCAGAAGACATGAAACTCCTGAGTCAGAGACAAAGGACTTTATTATTCATAGCACAGCAGTATGAACAGCATGTTTGTGATGGTTCCTTGCCCTCCAGACCCATGGGAGGTAATGCAGTCGGGACTACACGGTTGCTTGGACCCACAGTGGGGTGTGCTAACAGGAGAGGAACACCAAGCCAGGATCCTGGTATCTTAAGGGAAACAGTGAGCCAGTATGTTCTTTGCCCTAGAGGGGGATATTACCTCAGCCCTCGATTGTTGAGTTAGCTTGCTGAAACACAACTGAGAAATAACCTAGATAAAAAGCAACTAGGCCTTGCATTCTTGACATAATCACCAAGATATGCAGACATGTAAAGGAACTATGTAAGGGCATTGCATAACATAGAGTGAATCAGTATTAGGTATCAAGAGTTACATTTGAAATTTAAACAAGAAGTAGGAGCACACTATGGAATAATCCCATTTGGACTTCTCAAATAGGAAAGCCATGTAAGTTTGTCAGTACACAAGAGATTTTTAAAAGGAGAATCTGAGAAACTCCACTGGAAGTGGGAATGAGGGACTTGAATAGGAGGGTCTCTTGTACAACTTTATCCCAATTCTTTCCCTGTGTCATCGTGAGCTTGTATATCTTTTTTAAACAATTCATAAAAATTCACCTGTTTTTTGTCAGCAGATACTTTGGCCAACTCTTCATTATCTCCTAACGGTCCATGAATTTCTTCTTCATTTTTCTAATTAAAATCAGATTAAGAGGGAAAATGATTAATAGGATGAATTCCATAGTTTCATATTTAAGGACTGGTTTCCTGTCTTTGGACCACTTTCCTTTGATGAAGCTCGGCATTGACTTCTGATTTTGCTCAGGATCCATCACACTACATCTCACATTAAGAAGGCCTTTAGCAGATTGGAATTGTATTCTGAGATCTCAGAATTGGAACAGTTTTAAGCAATGGAAAACTCCAAAGATTGGCAGTGGCTCTGAAGGAGTAAAGTGGACTAAGGTAAGTGGAGTCCAGGAGACACATAATTATGTGGCAAAAGCATTACATAAGGTTTTTGGTGGGCAGAACAATGGACCTCCAAAGACCTCTTTGACCCAGTCTCTCCAGCTATGCTATATTACACAGTAAAAGGGAATTAATTTCACAGATGGACTTAAAAAGCTGTGCATTATCTCTCTTTGATATGGAAACTTGTTCTGAAGTATCCAGTGGACTCCATGTTGCCACAAGGGCCACTATAAGCAAAAGAGGGCTACAGGGGAGTCAGAGAGCTACAACACAAAGAAGACTCAATAAGCTACTTTGGCTTTGAAGTCAGAAAGGGCCCATAAACCAAAGAACGCAGATTTCAGAAGCTGTAAAAGGCAAAGAAATACATTTTCTCCTAGAGCCTTCACAAGTAAATTAGCCCTGTTCATATTTTGGTTTTAGTTTGGTTGCTTGACTTCCAGAACTCCATGACAATAAGTTCTTTTTTAAGTCATTAATTTTGTTATAATCTGTTCTAGCAGCAATTAAAAAAATAACATAGTATGTCCATAAGCCTCCTCTAAAAGTGAAAAGTAAAGTAAATAGGAAGTTTTGAAACAGAGGCCAGTCTCTGACTTATTAGTTCAAGTACTTGCTGATCCCTTGTTAGGTGCCAGCCAGACACAGCTGCTCACAGACCTTATGACTTACCAACACAGGCAGGCGAATGACCAAGACACAGTGCTATAGAATTCCTTGAGTTCAAAGTAGGTGAGAGAGCACATTGGGGCAAATTTTAAAGTAGGAATGGGAATGTTGGTGAATTCTTAATTTACTCCTGAAACAAATGCTATCTTCCAGAAAAGGGAACAACTTCCAAGCAGAAGTTTATAGGAAAACCCAAAGTCCTGGGCAAGAAGTTTCTTTTCAAGCAGAGTAAGAACTAGAGAAAGTAATGGGCTGATAGTGAAAAGGTGGAGGTGGGGTGACTGCACTAGGGATAATTAAGGAAGCGATTAAAAGCAGCATCTAATGTCTCCTAAGTGTGAACCATGAATGGAGTTGAAATCTTTCATTTAACCCTCACAATTTTATAAAGCAGTTATGACTTCAATTTTACAAATAAGGAAAATTGTGGCTGGGAGAGATTAAACAACACAGTCCTGGTCACATAGCTAATAAAAAGGTAAGCCAGATACAGGCCTGGATCCACTGTTTTAGCTGTGATGCTACACTGTGTTGGTAGCACAGGAAGGTCCTACAGCATAAAATAAGACAACTAACACTATAATGGGTAGAGCTAAGAGAGGAATTACAAGGGATGTGTGGAGAAAAACAAGGGAAGAAAGTCTCCTTCTTCAATAGTCCCATAATTTAGATATACTAAATTAAACTACAATAAAGTACGAAGCAGTAGAAAACTTTTAAACATCATCCACCTTCACAGTGCTCAACTTCTATTTCAAAATTTTTACTAGTTGCCTCCCTCCCCAACCATAAGATTCTTCTCACTTACTTAGTTTTGGACGCTTAAAAATTCTTAGTTTTTAGCTGAACAATGTCTGGATAGCATATGTGTTTTCTTATATTTAGTGAAAAGAGACTCAGAATTAGAGCATCTCGAATATATAAAAGAAAAAAAAAAGATTAAGAAAACAACATAAAAATGTCAGCAGTCTCTAGGTCATAGAACTGTGAGGATTTTTTTTTTTTTGCTTCTGTACATTTTATAAATAATGAACATATATTACTACGTGACTCACAAAAATATGTTTGAAGAGACAAAAAGCTGGTAAAAGTGCCAAAAGCAGCATTTTCACTACAGCTACATGCCAAATTGCATCTTGGAGCTTCTGTGATTTACTTTGTATAGTAAAAGCAGAAAAAAAGAATTAAAGTGAAACAGTTTTATTACTTTAGCTTTTTCTTTCTCTTAACTGATCTTAATCTTATGAAGACTGTGTTCATTTGTGAGGTATTTTTAATCCCTGACTATATTCTGTCAGGAACTGTTGTTCAAATTCACTTCCAAACATATGCTACTGAAAGAGTTGTAGAAGTCTAGTTCTGTACATTTCTACATATTTAACTATTTTCCACTGTTTCATTTTTATTTTGATGCCGTTCATCTTTTATTGTTTCTCATTTCTGTAAATTTAAATCTAACAAAAATAATGTATAACCTGAAAAAAAGACTATGTTCAACTACACTGGAGTATCATTTTAAGGAATTTATTCCTTAAATACACTAGCAACATATTTATGTCAATTTCATGTGCACTCCTACTGCATACTTAAAAATTATTGATACAAACTCTATAGTACAAAATGTCAAATACAAAATTGTGTTCTTATTATGACCACAATTACCTGAAAATTATTTAAGTATATTAACCAGTACAGAGAGAACCCAAACAGAAAAGCATAAACAATACAATTCCTTTATGCTGTGGGCATACTGGATTATCTTCAGTTTCAATACTAATATTTGCACAAAAAGACAAAAATGAACTACAATGCACCCCCTTTCATTCTGTGTGTTCCTTCCACTCCTCCCATTGGTTTTGCTTCTTTGCAATGGCGGTGACATCGAAACTAACGAAGTTACTACGCACCTCTGCTTTAATGAATTTGATACACGAGTGAGTGATAACCTACAGATAAGGATGGCTTAAATATATGGTACATTTGCTTTCTTAGTGTTTATATTTTCCATATAAACAATGCTAAAAATGAAAGTCAAGTTCCTAAGCTAGCATTACTACTAGAGTAACCTTGAGGGTGTCTGAGTCTGGTGCCTGTGGGTCCCAAGGCCGTAGCTAAGGAAAACAAGGAAGCCTAGATGAAGCTGTGGCTTGACAGCTGCGGTTCTGGGAGACATGGGTGTGCAGCCCAGCTGAGAAGACACTGACACGGAGGACAGCAGATGGAAGGGATGGAATAGCTAAGTTGTAACCCTTCCTATGTCTAAGTCTCTTTCCAGGTTGGCTGGCTTTTAGAAAACAAGATTTATTTTGTTGTCCTTTGTTCTCATTTCTATGCCTTGTTTAAGTTGTAATTGAAAAGCCTTAAATTAATATAGGTATGAGTCAGATTCCAAAACAAGATTTCAAATAAAATATTTAAAATAAAACCAATTTCTTTCACTTTAAAAACTTCCTTGGTATCTGTCAGATGAAGGACAAAAATGCCAGCAAAATAGGCTCACCAACTCAGGGTTGGGGAGGGAGCATGGAAACATAAACACGATCCTTTGTTAAACAAGACATAAAGTGTATAAAATCTTGGGCTGGGCATGGTGTCCCACACCTTTAATCCCAGCACTTGGGAGGCAGAGGCAGGGGGATCTTTGTGAGTTCCAGGTCAGCTGGAGCTTACAATAGTGAGACCCTGTCTCAAAAACAAACAACAACAAAAAGTTGTATAAAACCTGCCACTAAAGAAGTTTAATAATCCTGAAATTTACTTGGAACCATTTTAACCAAAATGCTAACTAAAAGCCTTATCTTCTTGGGTCACACAGGGGAAACAGTAGGGTGTGGATTATTTGCAAACAAACTGAAGTAATTAGTTGGCCAATGACTTCTTTCCTAACAGAAACTTACACATCATGCTTCACTAACTTGTGCTTGTCTGTCAAAAGAACTTAATTTCAGTACTGAATGTGAAAAGAAAAAAATTACGGAAACAGTCTTAAATCTCTAAATATTTGTTTCTAACATAGCTCAAGACAAATTCTATCTACAGAAAAACTCAATCCCCCATCAGTATGAGAATCTTCTATTTTCATAAGAAGTTAGCCCACTAACATGTAGATAAAATAAATGAAGTTAAAAACTCATGAAAGTAATGAAGAGCTTTCTCAAAGACATTAATAAAATGGGCTGGGGTGAGGGGGTGGGTGATGAGAAACAGAGAAATAGGGAAAAATAATGTATAACACTTAAAATAATGCTTTACTATTTATAAAATATTTCACTCAGGAATTTGGTAAGAAAACACTCAACAAGTGAGGAAGCTCACTTCCTTCCCAGAATTCCTAAACGTAGTCCCAATACCAGCAGTATAAATCTAAGCTTCTTTCAAGGCAACAGAATGTTTTTACTGTATGATTCTTAGCTCTTTTTCCAGGTTTATTTCTGGTCTTATCCTTCTGCCCAACCTCATCCTTGGGTACAAGGTCCATAAGTTTTCACTCTTCTGAGCTTGTCCATACAGGGTCTCCTGACTGGGCAAATACCTTCTCATTCTTCCTGCGCCACCAACTGTCACTGTGAACCCTTCCTTTACTGCCTCATGGAAAGACTGGTTCTCAGCCTCCTGAGCATCTCCGCTCCATACTTGGTCCTTGGCTCCTCCACCTAATTATATCTTAATTATTTAAATGACCTTGAGTACCAACTACACCACCTCAGGCACAGCAAAGCAAGCATCCACAATTTAAAAAAAAAAGAAAAAAAAAGAAAAAAAAAAGAAAAAAAGAATTTCATGAATGGCCTCCTAAATTTGTGAAGATTTAAAGATTTACAAATACAGTCTTTCTGGAAAAAATCTAAAGCAACCTTTCAGCTTAGAATTATCAGGTTGACTATAAAAAAATACACTATTCTGCTAATGCAGAATACAACTTTATATGACTAAGAATATCTTATGCTTTAAAAAGATTGCAAGAATCAAAAGGTTAAGTGATACTGTTAGGCTAGGGAGAAGCCATTCCCTACCCGCTGTCAAATATTTTCAAAAACCTCTTAAATGCTTAACTTAACCTAACACTACTTCTATAATATGACATTGGTCTTATAGAAAATTAATGACAACACTTCAAATTTCCACAATCACATAACCACAATGGTGAGAACCTCTTTAAGCAAGGTGGAAAATGATTAATCAGCACTTTGTTGCCAAGGCTAAAAGAAAAAGTTATAAGATGCACATACTTCCAATATACTGCTTTTTATGATATTCTTACTATGCATTCCTAGCCTGCTTTGATCACCTCTCAAGGTCAAAAAAGGAGACTTTAAGGGAAACCAACCAACATTAAAAGATACCATTATTCTAATGGTAGATCTTAGAGAAGATACTAAGATAAGACATGGTCTCTATCTTCAAGCAATTTACAGTTCCTTGGGAGAGAGAAGGAAACTACAAAGCATTAACAGTATGTAAGTGGGTGATAAATTATGTGGAATAGACAATCATCTAATTGGCGAAACCCCATTAACACCTGATAAACTTGGCAGACGCTAAGAGAACTGCTGCTATTATACTCTGACTTATTAGTGCCACACACAGGAAGCCAGGAAGATAATTCTCAAATCTTAAGATTTGCTAACTTTGACTTTAAGTGGACCACAAATGGAGCGATGAAATCAAATTTGAGACTACAGCTTTTCTAAGGGTAAAAACTATCTATAAAAACAAATTTTACCTGAGATTTTTGCCCTTGGGCTTCTACTCCAGGGAAGAGCTCCATCCAGAGACTGAGCACAGTGAAAAGGTTGACTTTAGAAAGTCTTGGTATTTGACCTACAAAAGAGAGGGCAAGCACTTCAGAATTTTACTAGTGATGTCAAGGCGAGTGAAGTTCAAAGCCGCTTTTAAGTTGCAGCCTCAGCAGGGGACAGAGCATAAGGGACTCAAGGCTTTATTTCACTTGCAGTGTCCTTCTGTGGCTCTTTCCAATGTGGGGCTCCCCCTTTTTTCCCTTACCTCACCCCAAAGATAAAATAGTACAACTGATACCCGTAGCCATGGAAACGATGCAAAGAAAGCTGGGGCAAGTCCTGGCACCTGTACTCTTTGTATTATGAGGCGTTGCTGCGAGGGCAATGGTCAGAACGTGACCTTCGTCAGGAAGCGAAATGGAGGGAAGGAAGGCAGCATTGTGGTTAATTTAGAAATCAATGCAAAAGCACGATTTGGAGCGATTTTCAGGCTCTTCAGCTCTGGAGATGCCAAGTCTAATGCCTGAGACCCAGAGTGCAGGGCGCGTACGACCTTTCAGGCAGGAGCCGCAGAGCAAGACGCGCGCCTGGCGGGACAGCAACACCAGGGCCCGTGGGCGACGTGAGGGAAGAAGGGGCGCCCGGGTCACTCAGGAGAAACCACGGCCCGCCGGGTGACGCCCAGGGCCCGTCCGGTGACAGCCCACGCAGAGACGCCCAGGGCCCGTCGGATGACGACCAGTGTCCGTCGGGTGACGCCCGGGGCCCGTCCAGAGACGCCCAGGACAGGTCGGGTGACGCCCGGGCCCGTCCGGAGACGCCTAGGGTCCGTCAGGAGAAACCGCGGCCCGTCGGGAGACGCAGGTTCCTCAAGGCGGAGCCACACGCGGTAAGGCAGGAAGGAAGCACCGGGCCCCGGCGGGCGGCGGCACTCACCGGTCATGCTGCCTGTCTGCGTGCTGACTGACCGCTTGGCCCCCGCGCCCTCCAGACTTTGCATCGGCCTCGTTTCCTTCATCTCAGGCCCAGCGGCCTTGGGCCAGGACGGCACCCCCTGTCAGGCATGATCAGCACCCGGCCGCTAGGCTGTAGCCGCCTCCCCGCAGCTCATTCACAGCCTCTTGTTCGGCGCAGTCGGATGACGTCTCAACCTGGCCGCAGAGCGGGCGCGGCGGCGTCGCCACCCGCTTCCCCAGTCTGGTCTGAAGTGAACCTCTGAGCTGTCAACCACCCTCAGAACGTGTGTATCGGGTGGTGTTCCGTGTTTTTTTCAGAAATTCGGGCACTGGGAGATTTCCTGGTCCGGGACTGCCGTTGGTGGTGGTCAGGCAGGGATTGAGAGAACCAGAGTCGGCAGTCTGAAAGATGTCAGCAGAGGCTGGCGAATTCCGAGGAGTTGAGTTCTGCTTCTTACCAGGATCGTAAAGACTTGTAGGTGCATCTGTAGCTAGGAAAAATGGGAGAGGCGGAGGGAATAGCCAGCGAACCCTGGAAAATCTGAGAAGCTGGCTTTTGCATTTGTAAGGTGTGCATGTGCGCGTGTACGTATGGTGTGTGTGTGTGTGTGTGTGTGTGTGTGTGTAGACCGGGGTAGACTTCAGGAGTCTTCTTCTGGATCTCCACCTTATTTTTTTTTTATATTTGAGAGTTTCATACAGGAGTCAATTTGCATTATTTCCACCCCTCCCAGTGTCCCTCCAACACCTCCTCCCTCCATGTCCCGCCTCCACCTTTAAAAAAAAACATTCTATTTATTATTTTTATTTTATGTGTGTGAGCGTTATGTCTGCATGTAAGTGCACCTGTGTCCGATCCCCTGGCACTGGAGTTAGGGATGGCTGTTAGCTGCCATGTGGGTGCTGGGATTCGAACCCAGATCTTCTGCAAGACCAACTAGTGTTCTTAACGGCTGAGCCATCTCTCCAGCCCCTCCACCTTATTTTTTTGAGAGTATCTCTCACTGAACCTAGAGCTCTCTAATTGGCTAGATGGGCTGGCAAGCATGCCCTGGAGATCCTCCTGTATCAGCTTTAATACTGCTAGGATTACAAGCTTGTGCCGAGTTGCCCAGGCCGGCTTTTTAAATATGGTGTTGGGTATCCAGAAGGAGCTCAGGGCCTCATGTTTACATAGGAAGCATTTTACCCACTGAGCCATCTCCCCAGCCGTCAATCTATATTTTGAAATGTCCCATTTATGACCCAAAATGAAGCTTTCCCTGCCCAGTGACTCTGAGCTCACTAATTCCTCTGTCATTACAACAAGCATGTAGAATCCATTCTTGAGTTTGGTGTAAGACAGTGACCATGGTTTATTTCATTTTCATCTTAGATAATCAGTTATCCTAGCACTATTTCCTCATTGCTCTGTAATGCCACGTCTGCCATATGTCAAGTTCCCACATACATTAGTCTCTTGCAGGGTTTTCAGCACCCTAGCAAAAATCAAAACAAAACAAAGCATATATATCTTTCTGATTCTTGGCTGTTTAATCTTCCATACAAATTTTTAAATGCAATTGTCATAGTCCTCAAAATATTCATCTTAAATATTGATTAGCAGTGTGTTGAATTTGTAAATCTAAGTTTACATAAAATATATAGCTTTATTGTAAACATGGAATAGTGCTATATACATTATATTGATATATGGGGTTTTCATAAGATTTTCAGCACAAGAGATTCCATTTTGTAAGCACATATCTTCTATTGCTCATGTACACTATATGTACTGCGTGCCGAAAAGTTTGTTGCTAAAAGGGAGACATAAAAGCATGCAAGTATATCATCTTCCATTCCATGAGAGAAATTTGTGTTTTTTTCATCCATCACAGATTCTGTTATATTTTTATTGTTTTTGCTTTGTTGGTGTGTATTAAGAATATTTTTTAATGGCCATTTTGCTTTTTCTGCATGTGTATGAGTAGGCACACACATGTGAGCGTGTTGTCAGGTGTCTTCCCCAGTCACTCTCCACTTAATTTACTGAGGCAGGGTCTCTCACTTGAACCCAGAGTTCACCAGTCCCAGCTCATCTAACTAACCAGCTTGCTACAGGGATCTCCTGTCTCTGCTTCCAAGCTCTGGGATTAGAGGTGGCCACCATGCCTGCCAGTTTTTTTGTGGATTCTGGGGATCTGAGCTACAGTTCTAAGGGCTTGGGTGGCAAGTAAATGCTTTATCCACTGAGCCATCTCTGAGCCCAGCCATTATGCTTTTAATGGACAGGGTATAAGCACTATTAATACAAAAGAATGTTTTACATATCATTATCATATTGGTTAGGGTAAATTATATTTTAATAATGTATAATACAGTGTGTTGAGTCCTCAAAAAAGAAACTACAAAGGTCCTTGCAGCTGAAGATGTTTGAGAGTCTCTTTCAGTTGTTTTTATCCACCCACCACTTTATAATAATCTTCAGTGGCATCTAGGGGCATAAGAAAATATGAGGTTCTTTTCAGATGCTGTTCAAAGAATTTTAGTGAAGTTGCGTGATGTTTTCCCAAAAGTTTTTCCAGTAACATAGGCAGTTAAGAGGCATGATAGCTTCAGCACCTGGAAGGCAGCTAAACTCTTATCCTAGAGACTTGAAAGAATTATAAGGGACTGGAGAGATGACTCAGTGGTTAAGAACACAGGCTGTTCTTGCAGAAGACCTGGGTTCGAATCCCATCACCCATATGGCAGCTAATAACTGTCTGTAATTCCAGTTCCAGGGGATCCGACAGCCTCTTCTGTCCTCCGTGGGCATTGCACAACATGGGTGCACTTACCTACATGTAGGCAATACACACATACACATAAAAATAATAAAATATATATTAAAAAGAATTATAAATCCCACTTCTCTCCTGCAGAGAAACTTGGCTTTGAGAATATCAATAGGTTTTTGTGACGTTTCAGTAAACACTCAAAGGCACAAGTGTTGAACACAGCCTGTTCAGTAAGATGTCACTGCATTGTACCTTTGGAAGTATAGAATGCTGTGCCTGTGGTGGCAGGATATTGGCTTCATCCCTAGTTAAGAGCCAGGATGCCAAGCTCAGCTTCCATTTACACAGATGAACCAATCCTTGGATGGTCTGTGGTTTCCAACATGCCGGCCTTTTGCTCTTAGTCAACAATGGTACTTCATGCTTTAAAGCATGAAGGTCTATAGAATATTAGCAGCTACAACTTCCCTGAAACAATAAAGTTTTATTTGAAGGGATCATCAGATACTTTAATAGCATCCACAGAAAGGAATAAAGGCAAAATTTGCAGGAGTTTAATTTCTTTCAAATGAAGAAAAATGTAGACATGACATGTAGGTTAAAATATTTGGTAATGTCAATAATGGAAAGATGACTAATTCACATTTTGGTAAGGAAAAAAACCCCACTGTATTGGCAAGGTTAATTATTTGTGTGAACTGTGCTTTATACTGATTGAATAGACTAGTCATTTTGGATTACTAGAAGAAAGTGATCCAAGGAAGTCCACAGCAGGGAAGCATGTAAACAATTATTGAAAAAGTAAGGGAAATTTTATTAGCTTTAGAACACATGAACACACTCTGAGCTTGGAAATACTTTACTTTTATTTTTTTAATTAATTTTTATGTGGATGAGTGTTATGTCTGCATGTATGTAAGTATACCTGTGCAGTGGCTGTGGAAACCAGAAGAGGGTGTTGGAGCCCCTGGAACTAGAGTTATGGATATTTGTTAGCTGCCATGTGGGTGTTAAGAATTGAACCCAGGTCTTCTACAAGAATAGCAGCACTCTTAACCGCCGAGCCATCTCTTCAGCCTCTGTAAATACTTTACTTTTAAAATTCGGTGTTTAGGCCAGCAGGATATCTCAGAAGGTAAAACCATGTGCTGCCAAGGCTGACAGCCTGTGTTTGATTCCTGGGACCCACATGGTGGCAGGAGAGAATTGACTTCTGCAAGCTGTCCTCTAAAACACACACACACACACACACACACACACACACACAGAGTGACATGCACATACACACCATAGATTAATTAAAATGTAATAAAAACATTTAAAAAAGAACTCAGTGTTTACATACTTGTAGTAACAAGCCAATCTAAGAAACCATGAAAGCTGGTCAAGGTCTGTCCAACTAAGATAGTGTTTCTAGTGTGCAGATGAGTTAAGTTAGAATGAAATGAGTCACCTTGGCATCAACAGCCTCTTTCTTTTACAAAATAACATAATCTGATGATTTCTTTTCTGGAGTTCAAAATTAGGCAGGAAAGGAACCAGGCTGACTGGTCAGACCCAGAATACATGATGATTTGGCAAAATGCCACCACCCAGCTCGTGGATGTGTGATAAGCTGCAGAGAAAGCTACTGGTAGTAGCTTCTCAATGGAGAGGGAACCGGTGACAGAATGGCTTGGAGAACTCAGTTTTCCAGGAGTTTCTTGTTGCTGACTCTCGAGGCGCCATCGCATTTTCTAAGCCCTTTAGTTTGCTCCAGACATTACTAAACAATCTACAGACTCTGCCAGAAGTCTGACTATTCTCCAAGGTCTTTTTGAGGGTGAGCCAGTTCTGGGGGTTGGTGCTAGAAATATAAAGAACCTGATGACAGCATGCAACAGCTTTGTTGCCAAGAGGCCCTTTGCTGAGAGGAATACTGTGCCCTTGAATTGTGACTTCTGCTCTAACCCTGTGATATAGCTTCTTTTCTCTAGAAAAGTTAGTGAATGATGAGCTAACCTGAGCCATCAAGTGCTCAGGAATTTGAATAGTATTGAGGGACCCAAATGTGGTGATGGTCCGTTGCAGAGCTGTTGGGTTACTGCACAGAGCACAGCAGAACTTTTCAGGCTCAAGTATGAAATTGTCCAGTCTCTCCAGGTACATACTTGGTCAGCTAGCTCTTTATTTTGAGTGTACTCTGGTTGACAAGGAAGACTTCTGTCTT